GCGGGGGCTGGGGTATTTGGGGCAGGGGAGGGAAGAGGCCAGTGGGGTATCGGCCATTGCCAGGAAACTACGGATATTCCTCCCAGGTTGGCAGGGACAAGAGCAGGAGGTTTCCTTGGGCTTTTCCTCTGTTTTCGGGGTTGGAGAGCTCCGTGAGTTTGGGATTACTCAGCAGTATCCTCTGCTGGCCTGGGGTGGAGAAAACGGGGTGGCGGCTCTGTGTGTCTCCCTCTCAAGTTAATGAGAAGAGAGGGAAAGGAGTGTAGAGACAGGTGGGCAGGGGCAGGCTGGGTGAGGCTTAGCAGGGAGGAAGCCCCACCTTCCTTCACAGCCCCAGGAGTCTGTGGAGCTGCAGGAGGCTCCGTTGCTTAGGTAGCAGGTAGATGAGCTGCTCGTGTCCCCAGATGCTCCTTAGCCTCCGCCTCCTGCTTCCTGGGAAAGCTGTGGGAAGCTCTGCGAAGGTGCTGGAAGTGACCCTCTACCTCACTGCCTGGGTGGGGATACTGGAAGGGAAGGACTCTGCTTCCTCCCGTGGGATGTGGGCTCTTGGGTGAGACTGCAGGGTGGGTCTGGAGGCCAGGGTGGCTCCCTGGCTTTGTCCCAAGCAACTTGAGGCAAGGAAGTTCTTGAGGAGAGTGATTTTTGATTCTGGAGGAGGAAGAAGAGCCAGGTGGCACTGGCTTCCCTGGGGAGCTGGGCATGCTTTGGTGAGGTAGGAAGTAGTGCGCGATCTCCTGGGGTAAGACTGTGGGAGGCTCCAAGGCAAGCAAAGGGTGGTTGGTACTGACAGTGCTGTGGGTGGGGGAAGAGAGCAGTGAGCTCACCTCTCGCTCTTTTTTGCATGCTCTTGCCCTTCTCTGGAGCAGAACCCCCAGGTTCCACCTCCCGCCTGCATGTCCTCCCCTGGCCGCCTGCTGCCGCCTAGGGGAGTGGTACTCACTAAGTGTGCTGTGGCAGGGCTGTGGGTGTGGGGACCATGCAGCAGACCTGAGCTGCTCCATAGCCTGGGAAAGCAGGACAAGAGGATGAGAACAGATGGGCTCAGGGAGGGGCAGCTCCCTCCTTCCGTTGTCTCCATCCTTGTCAGCCAGAGCTTCCCTCTGCTGGGAGAAGGGGCTGCTGGCCCGTTTATTTACTCCCAAGAACACCCCTCTTGCTGTACCGATGGCTGTCCCTGGCAGGCCTGCCTGCTCTTTCGCTCTAAGTGGGTCCTCCGTCTCTCCCCACCTGCACTCTGCTGGCCCAGGATGGGAGCTGCTTTTCTGCAGTGCCAGCTGGAAGCTCCCAGCCTGATACCTCAGCCCTCAGTGTGGGTAGGCATGTGGCAGGGCCACTTGAAAATCCAGAAGGAGCCTTCCAAACAGGTTTTCCTCCTCCTACCTTCTTAGAGGAGGGCCTGTGCTGGCTGAGTGTTTCAGGCTGTAAAATAGTCTGTGCTTGTTTCTGTTGTTGAGATGTCTGTGTGCTCATCATAGCTTCGTCTCAGGCCTGAGGGCCCACCCCTGTTCCTAATGCCACCTTCCCCCCACGCTGGGTGTTCTTTGGTGGCCACTTACGCACTGTGCCCACATGCTCTAGGTGAAGCAGTTTTGCCAGATTTTCTTCCTGTAAGAAGATAGATCTGGGGTGTGAGCTCCTGCCGAGATTAGGCCAAGACTCCTGGACACGAGGAAAGGGGCTATCCGTCTGTGTTCCTCTGGGATGGGCTGAGGCTGGGTAAGCGCCATGGCCGAACAGTATCCAACAGCCAGTGGACATGTGCACATCTGTGTGCCACGTTCTGCCAGGATTTCAAAACTACCCACGATATGTGGTATACAGAGTGCCCGGCATAGACGCAGAGTTGGCTGTGATAAAACAAGTTGTCATTTTACTGTTTAGTGTGTCACAGGTTTACCTGTGATACTCTGGGAGCATGCCCTAACACACACTGTGGCTGCCTGGACAGGACTGGGTGCCCAGTGTCGGGAATACCAGGGTGCCCAGTTTTTAGGCTCCTACACTGCTTCCAACAGTTGCCCCATTGGGAGCCCTCCCTTGACTGACAGTGCCTGGCAACTACTGGAGACCTTGTGCAGGACCTCTGCCTTTTGCCTCTCCTTTTGACCATTGCAGAAATGCCCCATTGTCAGGCGTCTGTGATCCGCAACTTTCTGCACACAGCGGGTCACTCCCACTAGTCCTTTCGTGTTTGGCGTGTTTGGCGTTCTCACTCTCCGGCCCTCTGCGGGTTCAGGAGGAGCGCCTCTCTAAGGTACATTTACCACAGCAGCGAACTTGGGCAAATAAGGAAGCAGGTGAGCCTGAGGCTACCGCAGGAATGGAACCAACCAAGAGCCCGTTTGAAGGTTGGGTGGTGGTGGCCCCAGGTGGGGAGGGGGGCTTCCCCTACCTATGATAAGAACTGGAATTAGAATCCCAGAGTTCAGTTCCTTCCCTTAGTGACCCCAACCCTTTTTGAAAGTTATGGGGGAGAGAGAACTTTGCAAAGTATACATGTGAGTGAGCCAGGGAGAGCCTTCTTGTCCAGGACGTTGCAGGGCCTGGCAGCTACCCTCGGGGACCACCGTGAAGGCTGTGCAGCAGCCCTCCTGCTGGGCCTTGCGAGGGGGAGTGGGCTCCACACTGGGCTCCCTCCAGCTGCAGATGGACGTTTGTGCTAGAAACAGGCTTTGTGGTCTTGCCAAGTCCCTTCCCATACCCTGGAGGCTGTAGCAAATGGTTTGGCTGGCTGGGAGTGGGGCAGACAGCATGGGGAGGGGCTTTGGTTTGGCTCAGCGTCTGGGTCTCCCAATCCTCTTAAGTCCTCTCTTTCCCACCCTGACCTCGTGGGCTTTTGGCCTCATTTCCTCTCACACCAGGGCATCTGGCAGTCAGCTGAGGACTCCCCCTTGTTGCCAGCATTTTTCTGTAGCTTCTGAGGACATGGCTTCCTTGTGGATCAGTTCAGGAAGCCTTTAGGCGCACGAGGGAATAAAGATGGCTTTGGCGATTAAAACCTATAGATTATCACGCTTTCCAGGACTGTGATCCTGTCTGCTCCACTGTGTCCCCCTTTCTTCCTCCCTCTGTCAACAGCATTTACAGGGCAGTTACCATATTCTGATAGCAGCGCTGTTGTAAGTCAGGAAGAAGAGCAGTCATGATTGTATTCTCACAAAACTGTTCCAAGTAAAAGATATTAACTTAATTACCTGAAAGCTTAACGTTGAGTGGGAAAACCAGCAGTGGCAGTTTTCCTTTTCTGTTCGGCCCACACTTTTGATTTTAGCTTTATGTTCAGGGCTGTGAACTTGTACACAGCAGACAAAGCCCTTGCCCCGGAAGCACCCAGCTCTTTGCCTGTGCTCTCTCACAGACTCAGTGAACCTTGTGGGGCTTTGAAGGGAGAACAAACATGCTAACCTCGTTTTCAATAACTTAGTGTTGGGACCAGCAGTTAGCATAATGGCTATATCGCTGGGCTCCCACCTAGTCGACCACGGTTCGAGTCCCGGACCCAGCGACTTAAACTCATGCCGGGTGCCTGTGCGTGCGTGTCCAAGATCCCGAGAGGAGGATAAAGGAGAAGGGATTGTGGTGTGGCCATCTCCCCTGGGGGGTGATTTCTTGCTTTCTGTCTCTCTGTCTCTCTCTGTCTTTCTGGTACGCGCCCTCGTGGGCTTTTGGCCTCATTTCCTCTCACACCAGGGCATCTGGCAGTCAGCTGAGGACTCCCCCTTGTTGCCAGCATTTTTCTGTAGCTTCTGAGGACATGGCTTCCTTGTGGATCAGTTCAGGAAGCCTTTAGGCGCACGAGGGAATAAAGATGGCTTTGGCGATTAAAACCTATAGATTATCACGCTTTCCAGGACTGTGATCCTGTCTGCTCCACTGTGTCCCCCTTTCTTCCTCCCTCTGTCAACAGCATTTACAGGGCAGTTACCATATTCTGATAGCAGCGCTGTTGTAAGTCAGGAAGAAGA